AGGCAGAAAAATACAAAACTTGCTCACAAGCAGAAAAACATGTCCCCAGCAATAGTTCCTGAAATGGATGTTTAAATACACTGGAAGATGCAGGTATATATATATAATGTGTGTGTTCATTCCCTCATTCATTCATTCATTCATTCACTCATTCATTCACTCATTCATTCATCCATTCATTCATTCATTCATCCATTCTCTCACTCATTCTTTATTTCATTGCATTCATTCATTTGTTCGTTCATTCATTCATTCATTTCATTTCATTTCATTTCACTTCACTTCACTTCACTTCACTTCATTTCATTTCATTTCATTTCGTTCATTCGTTCATTCATTCAATCATTCATTCATTTCATTCAATCATTTAATTTCATTTCATTTAATCATTTAATATCATTTCATTTCGTTTCATTTCATTCATTCATTCACTCACTCACTCATGTATGTACATGTGTATATATATATACAGTTTGTTGTGCTCGGACAGTCTATGGAATACAACGGAAACGGGAGGTAATCAATGAGACGATCAATGAAACAAGAAAATAGATCCATGAATCTCCGACAGTCGCCTCTTGTTTACCGCTGGATGATAATCTGCTGGGCCGTCCCGGTCACACTGGCTCAGCTCATCTTCACCTGGCAACATCGGAGGCAAATGCAAACAAGGACACAAAACATGATGAAACATGATATGTGATGATGATGATGATGATAATGATGATGATGATGACTATCATCATACCGGTTGTGGTGGTGGCGGTGGTGGTGATTATCAGACACAATCAGTATGCAATGACATGTTTTATTTGATCTTGTTTGTGGAATATATGAAAGCGAGGGATACAAAAAGGACATTGTTTAACCTTGGATGATCAATCAGAGGTGCAAATTAGAGCTCTTCCGAATCGTGAGACTGCAAACCTCGGCATCTGGTGGATTCTGATGTCAATTCCCCCAATTAGTTGAAATTGGCGCCAAGTAATTTCATTTGAGTAGTTCGGTAGTTGAAATTCTACTTCAGTAGTTCGAAGTAAGTTCGGACCAAAGCCCAGGAACTGGTCTCTCCGTCGCCATGGTTTGAGGGAAAGCTTTTGGGGAAACACAGTGGGATGAAGAACCAATTTTTTCCTTCCTTTATTATTTATTTATTGTGGTGCTTCTTTCCATCAACAGCAAATAAACTGTAAGTACATCATGATCAAGTAATCCCCTTGACACCCTTGGCACTGAAGCCTCTCTTTCGCGATGTTGCTGTCAAGGACTGCGGGTTTAACCACACCATCATTTCGTCAGCTGGAACATGCTGGAGCTCTCCAACTCTTGTATTTTGGATTTCTTGACGGGGATATTTTGAATTCTCAAATTGACTTGCTAACAAACGCCAACAAATGATGGTGCGAGCTGTGGGTTCATGAGGAACCCAACGCAAGCTACCACGGGCCAACTCCAACACAAGCCAAGGATAATCTCATGCCTTCACTTGCCGCTCGGTGACCTGGTGAAATCTTTCCCAAAGGGATCAACATGGATCAACTGTTTTGGGGGGATCCTGTAGGGTGATGCATAAAAGTCCAATTGATGTAGTAATCATTGATCAATGTAGTAGAATACAATAAAGTATTGGTGGTCCTGTAGGGTGATCCTGTAATCATTGATTGTATTCTGCATCCTGGACTTTTTGCAAAAAAAACATTTTAAAAAAACCGCTCCAAATTGAACGAAGAAGGCCTATTGGCATTCCGCCGAACAGCACTCGCCACTTCTCCAAAATTTGTTGCTCTGGGCAGCAGTGAACAAAAATGCAATTGCTCGTATAGTATTTGATGAAACTCTTGGTTGTTTCGACCCCGCATCAAATATAATCAATCTCTCTGGTGTTCTTGACAGAATCCCTGGATACCGGGTAATGTCATTACTTTTCTCAGTTATTGGTATTTATCTCGACTTATCTGTGGTATTCTTTGTTGCGAACCTGTGTAAGCCTGGCGACCACAATGGCACAACAAACGCCAGGCGTCTCCGTGGCTTGTGGACGGACCTGGTCTGCGCAACACAGCCACAGACAAAGCAGGACTGCTGTGAAAGCCGCTGAATCGCTAAAAAAGCTGGTGACAGAGTTGGCCAGTCTGGTGCAACATTTGGGATAGAGTAATTGGTTGTTATACTATGTGTACCATATAGGCTTGTATCCTTCCATCCATTTCTTTATTGAGCGTTTTTTAGTCCTATCTAATTCTTCCATGTGCTGGTATGTGCCTGCGGCAATTACAATCCTAGTGCATTCTAGATCATATGTCTATATATATATGTGTATATATATATATGTATATCTATTTATATATATATATATGTATATTTATATATCTATATATATCTATATATATATGTATACTTATATATCTATCTATCTATATATATATATACAAAAATATAGTTATAAAACATAATTACATAAATATGATCATACTAAGTGATATAATATGGTTCGTGGCCCAAAGCCATCCCACTACTGGACAAATTAGCAGAACGCCAGCTGTAGACTTAGAAAATGATGCCGATCAGGATTTAGGTCCAATTCATGCCAATTAGCAAAGACAGGCCCCTCAAGCCATACACACTGGGCGTGACCCATCTAGAAACAGTCTGGACTCCATCAAAAGACACCAGTCGTTTGGGACCATCATTCGGCAGTGTGGATGGTTGCATTGCTTTCACCACCCTTGTTGCTATTGGGTGGGGAAAATAACATATTAGCGCATGCTTCGCGTATGTACATGTACATAAATGTGTGTTCGTGTACGGACTTGTATGTGCCTATAAGTACGTGTGTAGCGTACCTGTATGTACCTGTATGTCTGTGAGGTATCTTATGTACTGTGTTGTAGTGTAGTGTGTAATTAGTGTCGTGTCGGAACATGTAGTGCAGTGAAGTGTAGCGAAGTGTAGCGTAGTGTATGTATGCATGCATTTATGTCTCTGCACATATGTATGTGCACGCGTGCGCACAAATTATATACACATGAGTACATTATCTCATATCCTTCGGTGTGTGTTTTTTTATCTATGTCTACATAACCATCACTTATTACCAGAGGGTTGGAGATGGTGTATCTGACATTTTGATGCAACAACTATCAAAAACTGCACCTGTTTTGGATTTTTGGGAAGGTCTCATGCATCATCCCTGGTCCCTCTGAAGCCAGGCATTGGTCGCTTGAATTCAAACTCTTTTTAGTGAAAGTTGGTGCATGTTGAAATGAAACAGCCTGGATTCGACCACAGGTTTTGGCTTTGAAATCGAAAACGAGGCAAATTAGCTGGGTCTGAAATGATTCATTCCGCGAATGTGAAGCACAACTAAAGTTGTTGCTTTCCGGGATCATCCAAACGCCTTTCCAGGCTCACTTCATTTTCTAATAACGTTGCGCATCTCAACTCGCAGCTCGAAATGGAGGTGCAAGGGTGAACAAAATGTGAGGACCCATGAGTCTCTCCGCAAGGTTGAGCATATCCCACCCCGCATTGGCAATCCTTCCTGGGCCCTTGAAACTGAGTATATGGAAACAGTTGAAACTAAGTAAAGTGGGACCATTAGTGACTATCAGCATACTCATTGGGAGCGCTTATGGGTGGAATATATCAATCTCACAGCTGAAAACGAATGGAACACGCTATGTCCTGGGACGATCGGCGGTGGAAGTCGGGATCTGATGAAGCTTTCTGAAGGCTGTTGACAAATATCCCACAAACAAAATAGAAATCCTTGACAAATTATACAAAACATAATCATATCTCTCCCCATGTTGCTATGTACACACACACATATACATATATATATATAAACAAAAATGTATGTACTGTACTGTATGGGTTTGTCTGACAAAAGGCACTTTATGGGCTTGTCCGGTAAATTACTATTATCAATGCAGCCATGTCAATGAAAAAATGATGAGCAACCACTTTATTTTAGGGTTATCCAAATTTTTTGACAACTCATGCCAGGTTCGTTGTTTACAACGGGTTCTTATAGCAAGAATCCAGACCCAACGTCTCAGGGAGACTGTGGTTTTCCATGGTTTTCCTAGTCTTCACCGTTTTTCTTGGTCATTTTTAAGATCTTCGCTTGATCATGTCACGATGATGGCTTGGATTGTGCTGCACGAAGCATCCGCTGCCACTGCCGGCCCGGCGCGTGAGGACTCGCAGTGTTTCTTCAGGATCCCTGAGCAGGATCAACCGTCTAGTTGTTCAATTGACATCTCCTTCTAATTTCCATTCCAATCTAATTTTAACTCACGGATACGGATACCCATCCATTTTCGAGGGCTGGAGTTCATGCTCATTTACAAGTACTGCAAACGGAGTCGACAGACCGCAAGAAACAACGAATTCCCCATAAGGAAGGCCAAAGGAAAACAATAATATTGCAATCTCTCTCTCATAATATCTCTGGTACAAATATGAACATCAGTATATTGATGTACATTGCAACTACTGCAGTTTCCAACAGTTCGGAGGATCCACAGGACTAGATCGGTGTCTTTCCAGCTTGGAGTGGCTTGCATCAGCGATTATCAAACATATTCAACCCGTGCTCTTCGTCTTTACAAGGCACACAGTGTGGGTCTTTAAAATTGACAGGATGTTTCTCAAGCATGCCAGATCTATGCCTCGGCATTCTGGATGAAACCAAGAGGCCACAATGGGCCACATGGTATGGGTCAATTTGCTGAGGTATACCATATACCATCATATACCAAACAAACTTAGAACCACAAGATGGGTCATTTTAATTCATGTCAAGGATAACAATCCGTCCCCTTTTTTTGGCGTGTGATCATGAAATCACCCCGAATTCCCATGGATTCCCATGGCTGATCATCATTCCCACCAACTAAGCAACTTGCCATGTTGGATCATCTTCAGCAACTTTTTCCCATTTGAAAATGCACATTTTGTGGTAGCTATGGTATTTTTCCACAAGACCATGTTATGTTTCAGCAGCGTGGCTCATGTGTCTCCATCCTTGCCATCGGCATCACAGCCATGGCAGCTGAGATCATCATCGGCTGGAAAAGATGTGTGGATGACCAGTGGATGATGGAGGTTTTCTCAATATTTTGAGAGTGGCACGTCAAGGGCGGCCCGCGGCTTTGCCTACCAAGCTATTGCGAGTGAGGCTACTGAGTTGCGCAGAAGACTCACAGTTCTACAGTTCTACGCGGATTCTGGTCACTTGTTTCCTCAGATGGGCCAGCTGGTGAAGCTTCATTGATCCTGTTGGGAAAGTGAATCAAAACATCAATCCTGCTAGTTTACTAGGATGATACTAGGATGATACTAGGATGAATGTCATTAGAAAAACCGTCCGGGGCGTGGTAATCCGTGGTACATTTAAATTGACCCTCTGCTCAATTGCGGCAATGGAAAATCACTGAAAGTCCCCTGGTAGTGGATGATTATCCTCTCAAATGCTGGAATTCGCCAGTGCCAGGGATAGATTACCAGAGGTAAGTGCTGATTCTTGCTGGTCAAATTCGATGTTCTTCTTGGACAAACATTCGCTGCCCATATACTTTGGCTGGTCAAGTTCATCTTTTCTCGGGTCTTGGCCATTCGTAGAAGGCTAATGATGCTGATGACCCGGCCCATCTTTGCGGATCAAATTCCCCCAGCTCCAAGGTACCGCTTGCCGGGGTCGCCATGTGCGTACCCTGCATTCCCAGGGGCAGGCCGGGTTTCGGCGCCCTGTGCGGACGACTGGGTATGGATTGGTTGCAGGAAAAAGGACGTCACCAGGAAAAAAAGGATCTTTGATTCATGGTGGTAAATCACCTCAAACATATCATTCGATTGGGATTGTCACCACAGTATATGTATCAATATAATAATGCATTTGAAACATGGTCGGAATCTTGTGGGGCTACGCCAATCCGATAAAAATTAGGTGACAATCCATTAATGGATTTGCTATCAAACCACTTGAAGTTTGGATTTTGCTAAACTGGGCTGAACTCTTCTGGGTTCTTGATTGACAATGGAGCTATGCAATTCCATTTGGTTCCATCCTTCCAAAGAATACCAGAATTCGTATGGCACGGTATTAAGATCAAGCAAACTTAATGTGGGATGAATTCACCATCGACTACGTATAGTGAAACCATTAAAATAGTCCATGGTTGAACCTCAGTCTAGGGCTAAGTAGCTTCATTTTACAGGTCAGTTTTCCCCTAGTTGATGGGGAAAACTGAACAGCGATGGAACGTGATGGAACCATGCTGAAACCTAATTATGTATATCCCTATTGATCTTTATGTTCCATTAATTATAGGGATATACATAATTACCATAGGGATATACCATCCGTGGTGGGAGAACCCCAATCTTACCAACCATTTGTGGATTTACCATTGAGGGATCAAACATGATCGAATCAAGATTTGCCAAGTTCTCTGCCCAATTCAGCTTGAAATTCAATTCCGCCAATTTTTGCTAAGTTAAATGTTCATATAATATATGTACACCTTGACCCTCAAAGCACCCTAACTAATTGGTTTAAAACCACAAACACCAATGTTGAGTGGGATGAATTTCCGGCAAGGTACCCGGTACCCAACCCGAGCCGACCTTGGCGGTCCAAGCCCGACGTTCACCACGTGTTGCGTGTGGATCTTCGGGGCTGGGACTTCCAGACCTGGAGCTACATAATGGTCATATGGTTTATGGTCATCCATCCCATCATGGGAAGCCTTATATATAATATATTATATATAGGTATATTTAAAGAGATTGACATTTTAACTCCCTCCACCAATATGGGAAAGAAAATGAAAGAAACCCATGTTTTGACCGTGACGAATATGGCTTTATGATTGTCCTCGTCTACATTGACTGAATGATGCAATGATGCAATGATACATTGATGCACACAAGCCTACTAAAAAGCATGTACCTCCTCACCCAACAGACATATACACACAAGCAAGCAAGCAAGCAAGCAAACAAGCAAGCAAGCAAGCAAGCAAACAAGCAAACAAAGAAACAGGAACATACCGTTGTATAGTGTATTTTGACGCTGGCATGGTTGTATCCTAAATCATCTATGTGCTTGATTTCGTACCGACGCGGCTCGAGGTCAACAAGATTGCTTGGACACTGTTTTCAAATGGAACCACACTTGGATTGCAGCTTTGGGTAACATCACGGAGGCAATACAGAACCATGTTTCCAACACTATGAACCTTAGCACCTGACGTATATAGCGTATTCAGGCTCAAGCCAGGAAGTCAGTTGACAGGCTGGCAAATCTTAAGGTCAATCCAACGAAACAGCATCGAACCATCTCCTGGAATAAGGATATCAGATCGGAATCGGATATCATGTGTTGGGAATTCAGATGATCATTCAACACAAATTCTTGACCGAGAACTTTCGTTGAACATTTTTTTTTGCAGGAAACTATGGGACAATCCCAGCAGGAAGCCTGGCTTATCCCAAGACATCCCAGCACCTTCGGGCGTTGACCCTCCACGCCACCTGGCGTCCCAAGTCATAGGGGGAAAGGATTAACAGCCTATCGATGGTGTGGCCGACTTTCACCAGCTTTTAAGTATAATATATATATATATTATTTATTATATATATTATATATATATTATTTATTATATATATATTATATATAATATCTATAATATATATAATATATCTAAAAGAAAAAACGACCTTTAAATGCACAGTTCTAAATATGGGGATGTGCTATGCAACAATTCCATGCAGAAAAAACGGCAGGAACAGGTATGGAACCGACCACTAGATGTCAGTAAATTCAACACTTGGACCAAGGAAGTCTTCCCAGTCTAGGAGTCCAGGGCATACCCTGGTGGCAATTGGCAAACAATCTGCACCAAATCTGTGCATATGGTGGAATCATGTGGATCATGTATGATCATGTGCTATTCTGCTATGCTGCTATGCTACTTCTTGACGTGACCCCATGGATTATTCCGTGCAAGCTCGTTTCATGCTGCGGTATTTCACTCTTGCTTCAAATCTGCCAAGGGACCTGCTCATGCACCACCTGGGCATTGGATGACACGGAGGATGTCGATGACAATGATCCAGAGGATGCTTCGGAAGCATTCGATGCATAGAGACTGAGACGCGGCGGACTCCGGGTCACGGAAGTTGAACGATACAATGCAAAACAAATAAAGGGCACCCGGACTTGTCCGCTAGGGGAAGTATAATAAGTATACTTCATAAGTATACTTCAATCATTGGTTTCTCCTAGTGTGTCCCTGACTTTTCGACATTTTGAGATGAACCAACGGTCCGTTTCAGCTCTGCGATGACGTCTTTGCTGCTGGGCCGCTGATTGGGCGGCTGATCCTGAAAGTCTCGGCTTCCTCGAAGCGACGTCCAGTCCTGCGGACACGATTGAAATGCGCAAAGCTACAGCGCTGAAAGCGTCACCTGGGTTTGAGTTGCCCAAGTCAAATGTTATTTAAACCTTCAAATCAAAAAATTCCGCACACACCAGCTGGACAAGCACTCACAAGAAGTATATGAATTGTTTCTCTAGTCTAAACATTTCTTGACATTCCCGCACCAAAATGGAGCACAGGCTATTTTGGTATCAAGGGCATCTGGTCGCATCCGATTTGAACTGCATGTTTCACCTCCCTCTTATTTTCAAGGAAAGAACTATCTGAGCGCCAAACTTCCGATAGGGCATGCATTCAATATAAACCCAAACAGGTTTATATAGTTCCACTTTAGTATTTATTGCCTTGTGGTGGGTATCATTCACTTTCCAACTTCGAGGCCATGATTGGGTGAGGCTCCAGCCGTCCTGTGGAATGGTGTGTTGGAGCATCTCTTCAATAGCTTGCTGTTCTGTGTATGGTTTCTCCATCCTTGGGACTCGTCGCAGCGGCAAGATGCGGCAAGGGCAGCAAGTGGGGACTTGCAATCCCATATGATCCCTATTACATTCTAATCCCTTCTCCCTACCCTCCGGTAAACTAACATAGCTATTGAACATGCCAATGTTTAATGGGAAAATCAACTATAAATGACCATTTTCAATAGCTATGTTAAATTACCAGAGGGTAATATTGAACATCCACAAAAACATCCAGAAATCATGGTTTAGTAGAGGAAGTACATACACCATATAGCCGCTATAGCCACTTCACCCCCCAAAAGTTTGGGAGTTCCGTTCCATCAATGTTGGCCAATCAGGCTGGCAACCTGGCCCTCAAATTGCTGAGCCAATGGTCTCTAGGTCAAACCATTCCTTCTCTTTCGCTTGTCGTGCGGCCTTGTCCTTGCGTTGCTGCTTCATTTTTTCCTCGGTTTGCCGGGTTGCGAGACAGACTTGGTACACAGCGTTGTCCAAAGATGGTAGGTTCCTGGACAAGTTCTCTTCGACCATTTCCGAGAGATGGGGGTAGCACATACTAGAATGGACATGGAAGTGACTGAGAATGGCAAGATATGACCGACATGGGGCTGCAACCGGCAAACCTGGGAATCCTAGCCAGCACCTAATAATCATAGGGTGACATCATAACATATCAATCCGAGCCATGACAATGTTATGCAGAGGTGTTCTGTTGTTGTTGGTTTGTGGGGCGCTGCGTTTGTCACAACAAACCTGGCATGTGCATCTTCAAAATCAAGAGACTCAAGAGATAACCAAGGAACATAAATCTATGGTGTCTATTGGGCAATGGGGCTAAGCCACGGTCATTTCTGGAGCCAATCCATTGTGTACATGCTAGGCCCAGGATGGAAATCTGGAAGGCGGTTGAGAACCAATGCAAATAAAGCTCAAGCGCAAGGTTTCACATCACATTTTCAGGGGATCAAACATAGGGTAAAATATCCAAACATACCACAGAAACCACCATAATGTGGCATCGATAGAGTAGGCCCTGGACTTGACTTGTGTGGTTGACAAAGAAAAGAATGGGAGAACAACAAGATTTGAGGGTCCACAAAAAGTGGACGTGCAGATTTAAGTTCAGAGGTCTGCTGCTCCCAAGCCGCCTAAACATAGTGACATAGAGCTGTGAATGCGAAGAAATGCGAAGAAACTGGCAGGCAAATCAATCAACTTTGCTAAATGGTGTGAGCCTTCGGGGCAAAACAAAGCAGGCTTCTTCACTCCAAATCAACTCCAAGTTTCTTTGCGCTCCTGACGCGTTGGCGGTACTGGAAATGATGGACAAAACCAACTGAGACTAAGACGAAACAATAAGGTGTCCCTAATTATTCTTCCACATGCATGCATCATAACACTGACACATGTACATACACATTATAGGTATGTCAGGTATGTAGTCTTCACGAGGTGTAAGCCCCTGAGCTTCCCAGCTTCCCAGTGGCACAAGCCCTGCAATTATGAGCCCTGGAGTCCTTGTAAGCTGCCTCAGTGTGGAGCATCTGGGTTCCAAAAGAAAACATTTGTGATCAGTCTTCAGCTGGAGAATTGAGCAGTGTTCAAAAGTCTCCCTTCCTATAGCTTTATAATCATGACTGACCTTTGCAAAGCTTTCGTCGGTCTTTCACGGCTTAAGTTTTTGCTTTCGCGGGAGTAATTTCCTTTTGAGTTTTATTGTCTATCGCTTTTGTGCTGAAGCTGGATCGGCTGTATCTGGAGAATTTTCGAAGTAGAACCAGTTTGCAGTTTGGAAACAATGCAACGAGAACACCCAGAAAGTCCGTGGGCAGAACCCTGAAACATGGACTATTTGTTTGCTTCCGCGCAGCTTTCGCAAAGCTCTCGCGCAGCTTTGGCAAAATTCAGCTACCAAAAGGTCAAATCTGCAGGCTTTCACGCAATGAATGATTTTTCTCCGCCAACAATCATAAATGCCGCGCTTTCGCGGAGCTCTCGTGGCGGGGCTTTACCTTCGCGGAAATGAAATGATTGTACAACATTTAACTGAGATCAATTCACTGAGATCTAAACATTTGCTGTGTTTTGGTTTTTGCCACGTAGCATCCCTGCACACTTCTCGTTCCTTCTAATTTCCGGATCATATCTTCGCTTTCTTGATGGGGTGTGCCTCCAAATTTGCTGCAAAAAATAATCCGCACAATTTTGTGCCACCATTACATGAATTCATTTGATTGAGTGATGCTTGCATTCAAATTAAATGGCATTCGCCTACGCTGTCTTCGCCCAGTTTCTTAGCTTGGAGGTGACTGCGTCGTTCAAGAAAAACAACATTTACATAAACTCCCCGCTTGGTGATTTTGACCGCTGCTTAATCGAGAACAATATGCTGTCTGGTCGCACCTTGAAAGTACACATCAGTTTATTGACCGTCAAATTACATCAACTTGAATATATATATATATACAAAAACTGTTTTCGGCAAACAGGAAATACCAGAAAATAAACATGTCCACCAAAAAAAGGGGTCGATTCGAGGACAGCAAGCAGAACTTTGGACCCACAACTCATCAAACAAACTCATTGATATCAATTTATAGGGATCTCAAATTCAATCAAATTCATTGATATTGATGTCAAACTCATTTATAGTAAGTAATCCTGAAATTGAATGATCATTGCATCAACATGCATCAACCCGTTGACGAAGGCATCGCCCCAAATTGCCAAGGCACGACCCGTTCCTCCATGGTGCCACCCACTCCGGTAGTCACTGGCACGGTCGAAGGTGGCGTCTCGTCCGAGAAGCAGGACATCAGCCTTAAGGTGCCGGTGCCGTACAAAAAATGCCATGCTATTATAAAAAGAAAACATACATATGCATATGTGCATATGAATAAATATGTATCCATATACATATATATATATATAATGTATATGTATATACATTCATAGATGTATATATGTATATATGTATATATGTATATATGTATATATGTATATATGTATATATGTATATATGTATATCTGTATATCTGTATATTTGCATATATGTAAATTTAAATATTTATATATGTATACTTGTATACATGTAAATTTATATATGGATATATGTATATATGTATATATGTACTGTACGTATGTAAATTGGCATATATGCATATATATATATATGTATATGTAATATATGAAAAAATATGTATATAATTATATATGTATTTATTCAAAAATGTGTATGGAAAAATGTAAGTATATATATATATGCAAAAATGTATATGTGTACACTGTATATGTTTTTTTTTGCTTATTTATTTATAGTTTAATGTATTGTACTGTTTATATAGCAACAACCGTTTGCCCAAAGTTTCATTGAGGGTTTAGTCTCGATGCGGTTTGTTTAGGATTTGAGGCTGATTTTGGGTTAGTTAGGGTTGGTTCAGATTTTCTTTAGGGATTTTTATGGGCTTGTTGAGGGTTTGTTTACTTATTGTTCATGCTATTTCGGGCTGTTTTAGGGTTTATTCAAGGTTGTTTTCAGGTCTGTTTAGGGTTATTTCATGGTTGGTTTAGGGTTGGTCTAGGGGTTTGGGATTCTTTCATTTTTTTACGCCTTGTTGAGGTCTTAACAGCTCGAAGCATTGCAAATTCCGGAGACATGCTTCAAAAGGTGAGTTTGGCAAAAACACACACCTAAACCACACAGCAGGTTGCAGTCCCAAATCGAATCGGGCAAACGTCAGCCCCCTAGCGCTATATCCTATATTATGCATAAATCAATGATTGTATGTATCTATCTATCCACTCATTCATTTATTCATCTATCTATCTATCGATCTATCCATTGGAATTCTCTCACATAATGAACATGTTTACACGCAGAGATGTCATCACCTAATTTCTTCATTTTTTCACATCTTGGAAGTGCCAGGCGACATTGCAGCGTTGACCTGCCTGTCACGCTCTTCGCTGGAGCCAGTGGTGTTGATTTCGGTGTTGATTTCCACGCTCGATTGCGCGGACGCCATGATTCGCGGTCTGCTGTGGATGGGATCTATGAAGACTGGAAGCGGCTGTCATGATCTGTGTTCTCCTAAGACGACCTGGTTAAGTGATGTAATCGATGTATCTGCAAAGACTTGTATGAGATGCCAACAACAACATTCGGATGATTTATGTGCATATATAAATATATGTGCATATAAATGCATATAAATAATAAATAATGTACAAATGGATAAATTCCAAAAACATATATACATGTGTATGTTTACATATATATATATATATGTATATTATATATATATGTGTGTGTATGATTGCATATGTATGTATGTAACAGTGTGCATCAGTTGAGGCCAAAAAAAGGCCGGGTGCTTCGTCACTGGTCGAGGAGAAAAGACCTTTCCTCGCCAGTGTTCAGCACCAGGGGCGGTCCTTGAACCAAGGGTTCAGCGGGTGCCATGCCAACATACTTGGTCAATGGATTGGTCTGACCAGTTGAAGGGAGCATCTACAGAAAACCATTGTCTTTTTACGTGTTTACGATACAACATATAGGATTGTCCTGCAGGTTTTCTCTCAAACAAAGTAGAGCTCATAGAGTTTGTAGCCGTGGCATGCATTAGCATTGTTATCTTCAAAACGTGCAGGCTGAAACGACATCAAGTGTCATGGTGCTCTCAGGACTTCTCAACTTTAGGAGTCCAAGCACAGAATCAAGAAAGTTCGATCTTCGAACAGCTTATTATGATGAGTCCTGAGCAAACAAGCATGTCCACAGAAACACCCAAAGCCAAACACTGCATGTTGGTTACCTTCATGCACCTCAAGTCAGTTGACACTTGCAATCATACAAAATTTCTTGGATTCAACCACCAACAAAGCATAGGATGTCCAATTGCCAGAAAATGAGAATTTAGAATGCAGCATCCGTCTTTTCAGTTGCATTTTGGCAACTTTCATCGCCCTGGCTGGTTTTCAGCCACGGGAAAAATCTGGACTTGTGTGACATCCCGCTACAGGAAACTTTGATGGGCCATGGAGGTAGTTGGCTAAAAACATGAACTTGTGTTTCTTGATATGTTGATCATCGCAAGAAATTACACATGATAGAGCAATCTATCTAAGATATCTATCTTATCTACCTGTACATCCTATCGATTTGTCTATCTATCAATCACGGTCCCTCCCATTGGTACTGCACGTTTGGTCACGTTTGGTCACATGGCAATACATCACATTACAGCACACGCGTAATATAGATTTAATGGGCACATTGCATACAATGCAAGCATTACCTAGATGGCATGCTATATCATGCTATAGAAACAAACAATAGATATAGATAACGCAACATCACAATGCATGTTGACTCACACACACATATTATATCAATATTAATATCTTTTATACTTAAGTTAAATAAACAAACATAAATAATCAATTAATTACACTAAGGTAAAAGTAGATAGTAGATGGCTCAACTCAAAAACCAAAATACCCATAAGATGGCACCGCGCGCTGAGAAAGAAAACGGCGCTATTTTAGCTGGAACATAAAACGAGGTCCGCCAATTGAAGAAAAAATCATTTTGATCATTGTGAAGAAATAATCAATTTTCTGGCAGGAGGTGTGTAGTAATAATAAACATACATTTTGACCGAACACTACACACATCTGCCAGAAAATTCGATGGGCCAACTCCTGGCCCACGTCACCGGATGTCACCGAAGCATCATTCGTCACTTTCGGAAAGGATGACCCCCACCACCTGTCCAACCACTGGTCCAACTCCTGGTTGGCTTGAGACCTGTACCAGCGATTTCGGGCTGCGAAATACGGTCAAATCCCATAGCCTCAGAGTCCTCATCATATTGGCTGCTTTAGTCATGTTATGTCATGTTTAATTCCCTTACTTTGCCTAATTTCATTGTGGTGCATATCCCCCACATCATTCCACATCCACCTGCTTCAAGGGCTGCACATCAATCTCCGGCGAGTGCTGGAAGTGCTCAAGTCGTATCCCCAAGCGCCCTGCAGCTCGCCATTCCAGGATCCACTGCCCGGGACCCGCGGGACCCACAGGACCCGCGGGATCCACAGTGCACGAAAGGAGCTCATGTCCGTCTTCGGTGAAGCTGAGTGAAGATGCCTGGGGCCAGTGGGGGGCCCAGGGGAACAAACGGTGAACCTGTGAATATCTAGACTATTTGTCATGGGGATTGCCATCCCAAATATGGTTGATGTGAAAAATGTCGCGACCACCAACCAGCAATAACTTACCGTTTTCCAAAACAAAACAAGTGAAGTAAGTTAGTTTTTGACATGCTTTAAGTAGTTACAACTGCGGTTTGCCTAGGATCTAGGGACACCCATTGTATCACATTTTTCTGCAGTTGAAGGTAGTTGGTCCATCATTGTCCAAACATGGGATCGGACATGCCTGGAAGTGCAATCCGGACGCTTTTGTTGCCCATGCACTCATGCAATTGAAGTAAACTAGCGCACGATTTTGAGTTCACATTTCTGACTCACATATGAATGTCAAGGTATAAGGATGTATGTATAAGGTACTAAAAGTTCAAATATCCAGCTCCTGCCTCAAACAAAAATCATCAAACATTCTGGTTTCGCTGCAAGCCAGCGGCAAAAACGCTGAGAGTGGCACGAGCTACTTGGAGAATAAGGTTCTATTCTGCCCACAGGTAGAGTTCAATGGGAACGCTACAATGCTACAAAGCCTCAATTGGTCATATCCGACGGGTCATTGCCTCAAAGCTTCAATCTGCCCAGAATCTACTGTAGCAGTTGCAGCCTATTCTTCCAAATGAAATTGGGTATGGATTAAACTTACTTGCTGCCAAATTGGATGGCTTAAGACTAAATGGACTAAACATATCTAAACATGAGCAATCCTGCGGGCCCACTAGTTCCCCATGTTGAGCTAACTCCAAACGCTCGACGAGTCACATCCCAATCCAGCAAGCATCCAATGGTGCACTCGGTTGACACCGGCCTGCCATGATGGACTGATAGAATATGATAGAATCATGGCCCCATATATAGGGCTTTGTCAACGACCACTGGTCCCCTTAGTCCCTCCCGCCTGGCTTCCACCTGTTCGTTGTTGTGAAAGAAACCTGCAGGGCTCAACGTCCAGGTCTCTGCTCCTCGTCGCAGGCCTAGACCGGAAGCAACTGCCACAGATCTACCTGAGATAAAATATATTCAAATTTGCAAAACTGTCTTCTTCTTCTTTTACTGTCACATGAGTCATTTTGTTCTACCTGTATGTATAATGCATATATATATTATAATACATATGTTTTTAATTACTCCTTTTTTACCGTGTTCATAAGCAGTTCATTCAATTTCACACTGACTGATGTCAATGCCTTTTTGATTGCGAATTGCGACCACCACATTTCGAATTGGATATTGGATGATGCCTAATCCGTCGTCATCTGCGTACAGCAGCCATTCCATCATCAGCAAGGCACTCCAGAAACATGTACATCATCATGTACCTACCATTACCTACCATTACAGTCTCCATTCTCTACCAATTTAGGGACTTGAACCTCAATCTCTGAAAAACACCTAGTCTCTATACTCTATACTCTATACCAATGATGGATTTTGCCTTGCGATGTTTGTCTACGAAAGAGTGTCGTAAAACCAATTCAGAATTCAAAGAAGTTGAATCATTGTTGGGTAATTAGTCTTCTGCAGGAGATTCTCACAGAAATAGATCAATGCAGTGAATAAAACTTATGATTACGCTGAATGTTTCACCAAAATTGCAAAAATATGATGTATAAAAAGAATACTTCTTGGGTATGCGGTATACTACATTGGGGGTTCCCAAAGTAGTTGTCCTACGGCCATGTTGAACAGCACCAAACCTGAGGCCTATTCTGAAGTCTTGGGTCGACTGGTCGATCACCGTCTCGAAAAACACGTTCCTTGTGGCCATGATGTGGCTTTCGGTGCTGCACTGGCTCTGGCAATACCGTATACCTTAACCAGCATGATGAGGTTGAATCGTTGGTTAAAGGGAACATTTCAAGGAAAGATAGGAAACCTTGGTTTTTCCCCGCCAGTAAATGTACGGATTCGCCTATGTTTTTCTGTTGATCTTCCCATAATCCAATGTCTGGGACTGAAGTCAGCCCCCTTACTGCATAATGTGCATAGGGACATATTTACTTGATTTGGTGGCATGAACTGATCACTTCAAGACCGCCAGAAAGAAAGGCCTAGCGGCGGTAAGATGTCTAAAATTCTAAAGCAACAATTTCTGAAACCAACAAAAACAGTTACAAAATGCATCAAAATGCTGCAACAAATTGCAGCATGGAGGTTGTTCCCACCTTTGAACGCACCGCCGCAGTTGCACCGGGTGTCCTGGTAGCCGCCCCAACCAGGGAGGTCGACACCATAGCCTCCTGTGTCTTGTCGCCTCCATCTGACAGCTCAAAGGTGCGATTTCCCAAACCTCCGGATCGGGGTTCAGAATGTTTCAACCTCATCCGTGGAAAAACCTTATCATGATTGTCTGATGTTATATAAATGACGTTAAGGATCGTTAATGGATGAATGAATTTCTCACTTGTCAATTGTACTATCCGATTGTTGATTGGATATGATTGATCATCCCCAGTAGAAGTTGAAAAACATCATGCTTGAAACCAGCAACCTAATGCCGTGGGATCGTTGATCGTCATTTTCACATCCTGCACCCTGCACATTTCGTTTGGGTGAGATTCGAAAGACCCCAAAACTCCCCGCAGGATCCCTTCATCCTTGGTTCCTGTTCTGCTGGTTTGCATGTCTTCCAACATAAATTCTGACATGTCCTACTGTATACCTTTACTCCTACCCATGGCATCCAGGTGCATCCCGCCTCTCAGCAAGCCATGGCTGATACACCACTCGCTCTCCAGCTGTGCCAACACTGGGGCACCAGGAGGCCACACAACGGGCCAACCACAAACTCCTAGAGACAAGGGTCTAAGGGGGGGTTGCTGGGATAAGCCGTCCACGAATGCAGGGGTAGGATGGGATAGGTAATCATCCAAAACTGACGAGGAATGACATCACATAATCAACAACATGATAAACATGTTCATTCAGTGTTTCAATGGTCACTTTCGCCAATTAGGAGCATCATCATCATCATCATCATCAAGTTTTGTTTGCTAAACCACAAGCAATAGGGGACAACATAGGCTGATACAAATCTCCTTGACAGCAAAAACAGCATGCAGGAGCTTCCACCACTTTGGCATCGATCAGATCCTGCACATTGACCTGCAAAGTGGAACACTAATTCACCTGCATTTTCACACGCGCACACATTCGCATACGTGGAAATAATGTGAGCATATATATATATATAAGTTTACAATATTGTGCATAATTACATTAACAATACTTATATTTCTTATACAACTCACAGGTTTTCCACTTGATTGAATCCGGTCATGTTTTTCCCACCTGTGCTTCCAGGTTCCGCATGGACAGCCGCAAAATGATGACGGCCGTCAAGGCCACACAGGCCATGATGGCAAGACCCAGCCACAGGTTTACATATTGACACCTGGATCATGAACGTTGATTGGTGAAAGATTGGTGAAAGATTGTTCAAATTCTCAGGGTGATGGGGCTTCATGTCCTCTACATTACTCGATAACTTGCAAACTTCACATCATGGTTGATGACATGTTGACAATGAATGGTCCAACAGTCCGACTGTCGTTTTGGCCATGCAGCATGCCTACCTACCTCACGAAAACATGTGGTTCCGTCATACTTGGATTATCTTGGATTATTATTACTAATTTGCCACCAACAAACCGAAACTGCGTACCTTTAAGGTGCATTTTGACATGCCAAATCTTAAGCACACCATTGATTCGTTGGTATAGCTCAAAACTGGGTACAACTGGGGCATCGGCCCTCATTCCGCCAAGTCTCAGGGCGATAGAAAAGTTATGGCTGCCATGCAGAAACATCGGCAGGAAGGGTGACAACAATGAGGTGCAGCAACCTCAGTGGGAATGTAAAATGTCCATCCAGTCTGGGTGATGTCTTCTCCTGTGAATCTGCGATTCAGCACGTCTGATCTTCCTTTTTAAGAGACATCTGATATCTGATAAGTCATATATCTATAGTTGCTGGTTTCAACCCATCCCAAGAATATATCAATGTTATCATCATCCCAAATAGGATGGAAATAAGATGAAATAAGCAAGTGTTTGAAACCAGCCAAATACGATCTGATTCTGGATTCCTGTGATTCACACAAGCACACACATTCTCCCCGTCAAGGAGCTGAAACGACCACCCCCGTGACCAAAGCGCCTTCGGGACAAAAAGGCGCCATGCAAAAGGCCATACCTGCAAGCAATCTCAGTTTTTTGGGGCCACTCAGTGTGACGGGCCCCCAATCAATCCCTTCCCCCAACCCCACCGCGCTAGGCCACATGAGGTGGTTGGGAACCGCCGTGCCAGCACGCAGCAGTGCTGTTGCCAGGCTTCCACCACCCACGTAGAGGGCATTCCTTAGGGCCATGTAGGGGGCCATCCATGGCCCATGCAACAGCAATTCAAAGGTTGCTGGGAAGGAGGCAAATGCTACGAAGTTTGAGATACTCTTGTGTTGGTTAAAGGATGTTTCAGCCCTGGGGGTTTGAATCAAAGCTTCATTTTTCGCTCAAAATTTGAAATGCTGATGATAAAACATTGGCTTGAGCGAAGGTGCAGAAAGTAGCGCATGGAATTGTGAGGACACGTGGCTCGTGGCACCTTTTTGTTGTCCAAAAGAGGCTGCACCAAAAATTGTTCCCTGAGGACCAACATGAGCTCACAAACAACATCCATAAATTGGTTTTACAAAGAGATGTTCGTGGTAGAAATCACTATCGATCAAATTTTTGAAGGTGTTTATCCTGAAAAAAAATAGATTCGTTTTCTTTGCCTTTGCAATCAAGAAACTCCTGCACTTTCTCTTCAGGCGTCAAGGGATGAGCATCTCTACCACTTTCCCACTGCTCACGGTTGAAAAAACACTGTCCAATCATCAATTCCCCATCCACATACTTCCCGAATCTTCCCGAGAAGGTACTTAACATGACTTAACCGGCATTTAAATCCCTATAGGCCCTAGACATCCCTATTAATCATACCTAAAAAAAACGAGGGATCCAGGATCCATCGTCCCCGTCCCCGTCCCTGTCGAAGTTTCTCCAGTGCCGCGAAGCCCAAACCAGCCGCACCACCGTAGCAGCAAAGCGCCCAGGAGTCCGTGACGAAGGCGAACCACAGCAGGCGACGAACGCAGAGGAACTTCAGCAGCTCCTGCATGGAGCTCGGGTAGTGGGATTTCCGATAGTCAACCTATATATATATATATAAAGATACCAGTAGTACCGCACAAGGCGGTGGCGGAAGTTTCAAAAATAGGAAACCTATAGGAGAGGTTGGTTGTTGCGAATCAGGGATGGCAGAGCGAAGCCACTGATGGACCGAAAGGTGCTTGAGGTCTCCTCTCTGTCTCTCTCTTTCTCTGACTATCTACCTACCTACCTACCTATCTATCTATCGATCTATCTATCCATCTATCTATGTATCTATGCATCTATTTATCTATCGATCTATCTCTCTCTCTCTCTTCCATCTAATTACCTATCTATCTATCTATCTGTCTGTCTGTCTGTCTGTCTGTCTGTCTGTCTATCTCTCTCTCTCTCTCTCTCTCTCCTCTGTCTAGCTGTCTACCTGTCTATCTGTTTATCTATCCATCTATCTATCTGTCTGTCTGTCTGTCTGTCTATCTCTCTCTCTCTCTCTTTCATCTGTCTATCTGTCTAGCTGTCTACCTGTCTATCTGTTTATCTATCTATCTATCTATCTGTCTATCTGTCTATCTGTCTATCTGTCTATCTGTCTATCTGTCTATCTGTCTATCTGTCTATCTGTGGTGCAGTGTCATTCCAGTGTACTGTAGTGTAGTGTAATGTAGTGTAGTGTCGTGGAGTGTAGTGTAGTGTAATGTAGTGTAGTGTAGTGTAATTTAGTGTAGTGGAGTGTAGTTGTGTAGTTGTAGTAGTTGTAGTGTAGTGGTAATGTAGTGAAGTGTAGTGGAGGGTAGTGTAGTGTAGTGTAATGTAGTGTAGTGGAGTGTAGTGTAGTGTAATGTAGTGTAGTGTAATTTAGTGTAGTGGAGTGTGCTGTAATGGAATGTAGTGCAAGCTGTAGTGGAAGGTAGTGTAGTGTAGTGTAATGTAGTGTAGTGGAAGGTCGTGTAGTCTAATGTTCCGGCCAAGTGTAGTGGAAGGTAGTGTAGTGTAGTGTAATGTAGTGTAGTGGAGTGTAGTGTAATGTAGTGTAGTGTAGTGGAGTGTAGTGGAGTGTAGCGGAGTGTATTGTAGTGGAGGGTAGTTGTTGCGCGAGTTGTAGTTGTAGTTGTGTGTAGTTAGTGAGTGTTACGGAATGTAGTGAAGTGTAGGGAAGGTAGTGTAGTGTAATGTGTGTAGTGTAATGTAGGAGTGAGTGTAATGTAGTGTAGTGTAATTTAGTGTCGTGGCGGGGTAGTGGAAGTATTTGTAGTGGAGTGTAGTTGTTGTATTGTAGTTGTAGCGTATTGGTTGTAGTTGTAGTTGTAGTTTGACGTGTAGTGGAGGTGTAGTGTTGTTAATGTAGTGAAGGTAGTGGAAGGAGCGAGTTAGGTAATGTAGGTGTAGTGGAGTGTAGGTAGTGTACTGTAAGTGTAGTGGATGTGTAGTGAGTTGTAGTGGAGTGTAGGTGGTATTGATAGTTGTAGAGTGTGTGTTAATGTAGTGTAGTGGGAGTTGAAGGTGTTGTGGAAGGTGTAGATGTAGTTGTAATTGTAGTGTAGTGAGCAAGCGACATCTGAACCTCCAAAAGTGGTCCGAAACCCTTGTGTTTTTAACATTTTGACTTCGAAATGTGCTTCGCGCCACAACGGCGTGCACTTTTTCGACATCTCAACCTCCAAAAGTGGTCCGAACCCCTAGTGTTTTATAGATTTTGACTTGGAAATGTGCTTCGCGCCACAACGGCGTGCACTTTTTCGACAGCTGAACTTCCAAAAGTGGTCCGAGCATGGTGTGTTTTGTACATTTTGACTTCGAAATGTGCTTCGCGCCACAACGGCGTGAACTTTTTCGACATCTCAACTTCCAAAAGTGGTCCGAAGCTGAGGTGCTTTGTGCATTTTGACTTCGAAATGTGCTTCGCGCCACAACGGCGTGCACTTTTTCGACATCGCAACTTCCAAAAGTGGTCCGGAGCTGGTGTGTTTTGTACATTTTGACTTGGAAATTGCTTCGCGCCACAACGGCGTGCAATTTTCATCTCTCATCTGGCCAGCTGGCTCCGCACCCGCCGCTTTAGCGAGCCTACTTTTCGACCCTCCGGAGCCCCAAATCATTGGAAAAACACAGTGTTTTCGCGACTTTCCTACCTTTTCGCGCATCTGCATCTTCTTTCTTCTGACTCTTCTACTCTTCTCTCTTCTAATCTTTCTCTTCTCTCTGCCTCTGCCCTGCTCTGCTTTTCATCTGTCCATATTGTCGGAAGTTTGACTTCTAAACTTCCTTCGACTATGTGTACATAATATTGTATATATAACCCAATCAATCAAATCTAGAAATCAAACCAAATGCAAAAAAGTCAACAAAAAATAACCATATGCAATATATCTGAAAGTAATTACAATTCTAAACATTTAAATAAATATACATATATATAAATATATATACATAATATATAATATATTACACACTGCTTTTCATATTCTGGATGTATCTGTGATATTGTCGCTGCATCTATTTCATTCTATTTCTCTGGTAGGCAAAAGCCTATCCGCACAATACTGAATGGTCTATCTGCCTGTCCACATCTAACTTCAATATTGTCTGTGGATCGTTCTCTCTCCCTATGTGTGTTCTTGGTCTGTCCATCCATGAATCTAGCTGAGGTATTGTTGATACGGCCCGGGAGATCTGTCCTCATCAATACACCTACCACGTCCCATGTCCTACAATATATGAGGCTTCTTAACAAGGGTGTGGCGTTGTATCTATGTCTGTCTGTCCTCATGTCTGTCTGCATGCACATTGGCACACCTACATGTAGCATGCATGCATGCACCATTACATGCATATGCAAATTATGTATGTGCATGTTGTATATTCCATATTACATATTGCTTATTGCATAATGATGCATACTGATGCATACTGATGCATACTGATGCATACTGTACATATTGTATATATTGTATATATTGTATATATTGTATATATGGAGTGGCAAAGTGTAACACACATATATATATATATTATTGTATATTGTCTATATATTGTGTGTATATTCTACGTAATTGTATATTTCATAATTTCACATTGTATTTCATATTGTATATGTCATATTGTATATGTCATATTGAGTATGTCATATTGTATATTATAAATTGTATAAATGGTATATGTATGCGTATGGGTACGTAAATGTATATGTGTATGTCTATGTGTATGTGCATATGAGTATGTCAGTATGTCTATATGAGTACATGCACATCTATATTATATGAATGTATATAGACTGCACCTACTTCCAGGCAGTGGGTTCTAATTCCGGTCCTCCAAAAAAGCTGTCATGAGGTAGGCTTGGATTGCCCTCCTGCCACCAAAAAGAGCAGCTCGCCAAAGGTTGTTACAGCTGTTGCAGGCAAAACAAGGAACGCACTGAAAGCCAAACTGCCATGTGTTGATGGTTCAAAATAAGCCAAAAGGATTCAAACGTACTGTACTGAAACAATTCGTCATGTGAATCTTCAGGGTCAAACCACCCAACTCAGGGAAACACCTGCGTACTGCATCTTGAACCAAACTTGCAATGACCAAAAGTATGCCAGGATTGTGCCTGAGCATTTAATACGAGTGTCACCAGCGAAAGCACTTTGTTCCAGCAAACTAAGTGCTCGTCCAGGGCCAAAAGAACAAAAACGATAGCCGAGTAGCTTTCCCAAACACTCTGTATCGATCTGGGACAGATCTACTGTAGAAACGTCCACATCACAGTTGCTCACCCAGTCTTGCCAACCAACCTGGGTGAGAGGCAGTCTTTCTGCACCAGCCGTGGTAAAAGAAACACCGAAGTGACAGGGTGTGATGTCGGACACTTTCTCAATAATTTCTTGCCAAATCGAATGGTTGACCCTCCAGATCAATAATATGCATGTATCCAGTCCATATTTTGTGCCGCAACCGTGTGCATTTTTCAAGTTACTGGAACATTTGAATTGTGGATAATCTCTCGATCGCTCTCCATTTTGTTCGCCATTCAAATTCTGAGTCGCTGGAAAGTAGATGACAAGGATGATCCCAACCAATGGGATAAACCATGCGATGGCCTCAAAGAAAGAGGTGACCATTTGCAGAATCCTGCACAGACGTCGCCGCACACTTGGAGCCAGGTATCTGAAGATTAAGGACTTTCAATCCACATACAGTGGCCTTCATTCTCAATACTAGCGTAAATTACCGTCAATGTAATCAGTTACTCCTTTGCTTTGCTGCCACTCCTGTCATCAACATCAATGAGACAAAAGAAAAGAAATGAACATAACAATGGATGATAAGATTGATAAGAAAGAAAGAGAAACAAGTTAAACCACAGGAAAACACGTTAAATTTATTTTAAGTTCAACACTTCCATTGCACCACGGCATCGGCTTGAACATATCCCGTCCTCACAGAGTCTGCAAATTGGAAACGTACGAAGATCCCAAAAACGATGATTGGCACCTGAGTCGGGTCGGTTTGGCATTCATTTGCCTCAGTTTATACAAATTGGATCGAATTGGTTCTTAGGCGTGCTCCTCTGTATTGGTTGAGCAATTAGTGGCAAAGGGACAATGACAAGGCAGGAACACCAGCTGAAGATGAGCCATGGATTGGTGGATGCGGTGGTTCAAATGATAAAATGGGTCACATATTGACATCAATAATCGTCAATAGTTAACCTATGATTTTATCCCGGAGAAAAAGAACACAAACAGGTGATGGCGCATCGATCTAACATCAGCGATAACTGGCCAGGCACAATACTGAGGAGTGCCAGTCCCAAGGCTGGAAGAAGAACCTGAGCTGTTGTGAGTGATGTTTGGAGCGTTTCTAAGGGGTGTTTTTGGCACAGCAACTGTGATTTGCTATGCTGTGCTGCTATTTCTCTTGGCCCGTCATGCAATATAAACAAGAAAGAACTTCTCAACATGTTGTGGGCAAATGACTGTCTCATCTTTTCTGTCCCCAGCTCTTGCTGAACCCATTCACCTGCAGGGGGAACATGCGACCCTGCTTTCCCAAAGAATTGTTGCTTCAGCAGCTGCTTGTCTATGCCAAATAATCCCATTGGAGGAGTTTGGAGTGCACTTTCTGCCCCAATCAAAAACAACAAAAAACACAAAGCATCAGCTGGCGACCGAGTCCTCTCAAAACAGTTTGTGAAAAATTGCGAACAACGAATCCATGTGGTCGGTCGCCCTTCATTATGGTCGCTTGTCAAGTGCAGGGGCAGCGATTCAGATAATTGGGATGCACTGCAGTTGACGAGCTGAATAAGTTTCAAGGGCACATAGGGCAGCACGCAGAGCATGGTGAAGAAACAAAGAACGAGAAGCACCTTGGTCGAACAAACAATTGTTCAAGCAACCCAACAACTGCACCAAACCCGTGGTTTTGTGCACTTGTGTGACCAATGGGATAACAGTTGCTATTTGCAACTTAATGGGCCTGAACAGTAGGAACCACATGCATCGGACTGTGGCAGTATCATCGTATTCATACTTCAGTAAAGACTTGTATAGGTATCGTTGAATATAAGCATACCATGGCCGTATCATGGCGCATCTAGACTTGGAACTATCAACAAACTCAAATCCTTGCGAAATCTGTGTGAGTTTTGAGGGGGCCTATGGTAGCCATCAGCTGCTACTATACGACCTTACAAAAACTCTCCCAAGATGAGTCTGTCTCTAAGGATATGAGTAGATATGAGTAGCCAAAATTTCAGGCATCTATTTTGTAACCTGGAAGAAATCACTGCTACATGGCTCAAGGGCTCAAGAGACAAACCAAAGCGACATCAATAAGTAAGTGAACCACCATGCTGTGCATAGCCATGTCACGCCCAAGCCCCCAGTCATGCAGGATCCAGTAAAAAAACTAACTGGAGCCAAGGGAGGTCCACTGGGCTGCAAAATTCCATGGTCATCGGCCTAGGATGCAAGGGGCAACCCAAAAAGTGGCAGCCCAAACCAAACTGCTCAGAAAAATCCTGCCACCATTGGCCATGGGTCTGCAAGTTCACACCATATATATACATACACATATATATATATATATATACATACACATATACATACATACATACATACATACATACATACATACATACATACATACATACATACATACATACATACATACATACATACATATATATATATGTGTGTGTGTGTGAAACTGGTATTGAAACTGAAACCATCAAATTGTACCACACTTCAAGGTCATATCCATGAGTAATTAATTATATCCCTTCATTCCCAAATCAACCACCATTCTGTTGGCTGCTGCACTCCCCTGCCTGGTAATAGGCTGTGATCACTTCAGCCCCTACTGGAAGCTTCACCAGCAATTGCCGGCCACCGGGGAACACTTCGAAGACCTTCAGCATGAAAACGAGTTCATAGCGATGTGACCAGAATATTTGGCAGGCGGCAGGCGGGGGACAAAGGGACTATAGTGACTATAGATATTCACAGGGTGCACAGCCCCCCCCGGCAAAACCCCCCCGGAAGCGCAATAGATGCTTAATAAGGAAATTTGTTTTTTTCGGCCTAAAAAACAGGTTTTCCTTAATAAGACCTTATTTGGTGTGAAGGCAATTATGGCGTCAAAAAAGGTGTTTGAGAACATGTTTTGCTAATAAGGCCTTAATAAGAAAACATGTTTCAAGAGGAAAAAAAACAATCCAGGCCTAAATTTGAAAAAAAACAAAAAACATGCAAAAAAAGAAAACCCAAACCAAACCTAAATTTGAACAAAAAAAACAAACAAACAAAAAACAAAACAAAGAAAACAAAAAAAACAAAAAACAAAACCCAATCCAGGCCTAAATCTGAAAAAAACAAAAAACACAAACAAACAGAGAAAAACAAAACAAAGCGAACACACAAAAAAATAAAATAAAACAAAAAAGAAAACCCAAACCAAACCTAAATTAGAAAAAAAAACAAAAAAAAACAAAAAATAATCAAAAAAACAAAAAAATAATCAACGAGCTTGGTGGCCTCAACGGTGGCTGTTCTTATCAGTGGTGTTCGCAGCAGTGAAGACATCGTTCTGTGATACGGTCGTTTTCCGCTAACGCGCGCGCGCGCGCGTTTAAGGCGTCAGGAACTGCTCGCGTCCAGGGGAAGACACAACGGGAAAACACAACGGGGAGACACAACGAGGAGACGCAACGGGGAGACGCAACGGGAAAATGATGCAAACTGAGAAAACTCAGTTTTATAGTTGGTGAACTAGAAAAAGCGACTTCTTCAACGTATTGAAATGTTAAAATTACGCATATGTGCTGAATACTTTGATGTTTTTAAAAACTTTATTTGTAATTATCAAAAAATTATGTCCACAATCAGTTTTAAAACATTCAATGGTTCATTTTCAAGCTATTCGAATGAAATTTAGACGATTTTTTTTCAAAATATTTTTTGTCAAAATATGTTGAAAAATGAGATTTCGAGAAGGTCTGAATAAGGGCTTGACAAGGGCTTGACAAGGGCTTGATAAGGGGTGGATCAAGGTATTGGAATGAGATATATTTGTTTTGTTATTATTTTTCCCATTTTTTTTTCATGTTTTTGTGTTTTTTCTTTTGCTTTTTTTCTTTTGCTCATTTTTTGTTTTTTTTCTGTTTTTTGAGCTTTTTTAATTTTGTTTTTTTTTTGTTTTTTTTCAACTCTAGGTTTGGATTGGGTTTTGTTTTTTTTTTGTTTTGTTTTTTCAAATTGAGGTTTGGGTTGGGTTTTGTTTTTTTTGGTACATTTTATTTTTCTATCGTTTTATAGAAGTTGCCTGTAACCCGTGTCACAATGCTATTCATTTTTTTCTATCTTTGTAAGGTTGTGTCGCCAGAAAAACGCACATGAGCAGTGTCAGAAACCAGAGTTCCCTAATAAACTGTTATTAAGGTTGTGTGATTTATTGGTGCTAAAATTGGTTTTGGAATGCGTTATTCTTATTAAAGGTTTAATACCGTTTTTTTGTCTTGTTGGTTGGACAACACCCCCCAAAACAAGATTTTTCTTAATAAGGCTCTAAAAGTGAAATTTCATTTTTTTTGGGAAAAGCCATCTCTTATCAAGACCTTATTCAGCCCTTAACCACAAATCGCTAATGAGCATTTATTAAGAATGTGTTACACCACTGATTGGCCCTTATCAACCGTTTCATCCTTATCCATACCTTACCATACTTCTGGGGGGGGTTTTGCTGGGGGGGGTCGTGGGCCCTGTGAGATATGGAACTATGTGCAGGCGGTGTAACCCCGTGTAACTATAAATATATAAACATTAAAAAAACGCAAAAAGGAACAGAACGAAAACAAACCAATAATTTCGTCCATACCGATGTGGCAAGAACTGATGGCTGGTTCCTCCCTTCGAAATTGGCAATAAACTCCATCCGAGCTTTATGTTCACCAGGCCATAACTTATTCTAAGCATCAAAAAATTGAAAAAAAAAACGAGACAAATGCAAAAACAATGGAAAAACCAAAAAGCAAATCAACAAAATCCAAAAAAAAACAAAAGCAAAATAAAAACTGAAAAAAGGGGAAAAAAACAAAATGGAAAAAAACATGGAAAAATGGACTTGTCCATTTGCATTTGTTTTGCATTTATTTTGTTTTCTCGATTGTTTTTTGTTGCTTTTATTTTGCACTTATTTTGTTTTTTGCCTGGAAAAAAGCACACAACATGCAAAATAAAAGCAAAAAACAAATCGAAAAAACAAAATATAGAAATGCGAAACAAATGCAAATGGACAAGTCCATTTTTTCCCCATGTTTTTTCCCTTCTTGACGTCCCTTTTTTCCCCATTTATTCCCCACCTGCCAGGTGAGGGTTGTTAGATTTTATCAGAGTTGTTCTTCTCCTCCTCGGCTAGCTCTTCTCCTCTTCCTCCTCCTCCTCTTCCTCGCCTCCGCCTCCTCCTCCTCCAGTTTCTCCTCGACCATGTCTGCATCAACTTCCACCTCCACTTCCGCCTTGCCAACTCTTCGCCAAGCTCTTTGCCAACTCTCTTCGCCAAGCTCTTTGCCGACTTCCCCAGCCCAGTGTGCACTGGGACCTGAACCTGGGACCTGCCCAGCTCAGTGTGCACCGCTGGACCTCAACCTGGGACCTTCCCAGCTCAGTGTGCACCGCTGGACCTCAACGGCCAGATAGAATGACAGAAGATATGCCAGATAGAATGTCAGATAGAATGCCAGAAGATATGCCAGATAGAATGCCAGAAGATTTGCCAGATAGAATGCCAGATAGAATGCCAGAGATAGAATATATGCCAGATAGAATGGAATGCCAGGTACGCCAGATAAATGCCAGAAGATATGCCAGATAGAATGCCAGAAGATTTGCCAGATAGAATGCCAGATAGAATGTCAGAAGATATGCCAGAAGATATGCCAGATAGAGTGCCAGAAGATATGCCAGAACAGATTGCAGAAGATATGCCAGCTAGAATGCCAGAAGATATGCCAGAGAGAATGCCAAAAGATATGCCAGATAAAATGCCAGAAGGTATGTCAGATAGAATGCCAGAAGATTTGCCAGTAACAAAATGTATAAATGTCATGGTGGGGATAACTCGAAGTAAAGTAATTTTGCTTCCGGTTTTTTTCAGTTTTGAAGTTTCGCTTTTTGATGTTCAATGTGTTTTCCTTTTGTTTGCATTTTTTCAAGTTTGAAAATCACTAGCATAAGCTATTGAGGAGAACATAATCCTAGCTCTATACCTGCACCATTTGCTGGAAACAGCATGGCCGTTGGCCCTAGACCCTGCTGGTGTACAAGGTATATAAAGAAACGACGGAACCTATGGACAGCAGGAAAACCAAAAGAGTGCTACCACTGTACAATAAGAACTCTCACTTCGGGCTTAATTTGTGTTATTCAAACACAATAATCGGTAATCAGACTGTCAGGTAGCATTGCAACAAGGTCTCGCTTTCAGAAAACACAAAAATAATCAAAAAGTATCAAACGTAATGTTATTCGTATGCGCATTCCCCTGCACACATCTGAAATCCTCTTTGAAATGACCAGAAACGGGAAAAAACATGGAACACCCCTGTCCCACCTCATGTGGTCGAACTCCATCAGGTGGACGCAGCGTCACAGATTGGAGGACCCCTGCCTGGACAGCTACAGTCAAGGATTACAAGCGACAATGTCAATGTCAAGACACAAAATCACAACATCCCCAAGGGTTCGCAAATCAATGTCTGTACTGTCTGTACTAGTGGAACGTGGTTTTAGATTGTTCTATGCTATTTATAGCAGCAAATGCTTTAGTTCAGCTGGTGGTCTCAACTCAACCCAACCTAAATATACATATTGCATAATATAACAACAATAAATAAATAAATAAATATATATATATATATATATATATCTGTGATATGCATAATATATAGAGGAAGGCTACTTGTCGAATGTTAGATTGCACATTCCCGCTCCAGCTCAAAGGTACGTGTCTCCCTCAAAAAAATTGCTTTTCCCTAGATCTAGTATATTACATGGTTGGGATTGCATAGGTGTATATATATATATGATGAAGCTCAAAGCTACCTTGCTGGCTCACTGCCTCCTTGCTAGCTCAAAGCTCAAAGCTACCTTGCTGGCTCAGTGCCACGTAGCTGGCTCAGTGCCACGTAGCTGGCTCAATGCCACGTAGCTGGCTCAGCGCCTCGTAGCTGGCTCAGCGCCACGTAGCTGACTCAATTTTTTTAGCGAAAAAAAAAAAGAAAAAACAAAACCTCGCAGAAATTGAGCCGGCTACATGCCCTTGAGCCGGCTCGCCAATGCGTCATGAACCCGACCAATACATAGCTAGTATTCGTTTTGATGCTCTCACATTCGTCCGCCAGCTCAACGTGACGTAGCTGGCTCAATTTCTGCGAGTTTTTTTTTTTTTCGCTAAAAAAATTGAGCCAGCTCGATGCCATTGAGCTAGCTCGATGCCCCTGAGCCAGCTACGTGGCATTGAGCGAGCTCGATGGTGCTGAGCCAGCTCGTTGCAGTTGAGCGAGCTCGCAGAAACTTCCCAATCTGTTAAATTGCATTAAATTGCCAGGTTCAATCCCCACTGATTACTTTAGTACTAGATATGGTACCTCTGAAAAAGCCCAAGGTGACTGTCAAAACATACCCCTGATGAAATTGAGCCAGCTACATGTTTTGAGCTAGATCGAAAAAATGGAAGATTGGGAATTCCAACATTCAAACTTGTGATAACTTTCCTCTTGCTGTCCATGTCTATGCTGCACCCATACCACCACCGCTCGGTTCAACCGCTCCCAGCACCTCAGGCTCCGAGTCGGGCGTCACTCTGCTGAGCTCAGCATGCCCCATTGGCTCTCCATGGGGGTCCACGGATGAAGGCAGAATGAGCATGTGTTTCCATAGGTGGTTACAATATGTCATGATGATTCATGATGTATCATAATGTTTCATGTTTTGTGATACTAGCATTCGTAGTGTACATTATAGTATACGGCTTTTGGAAAAAGGAAGCAAAAACCATGACTTACAGTAAATGCGTCTATTGAATATGCTGTATATATATATATATGATAGAATCTTAGATTAGGTGCATGGTTGAAATGCAGTGCTAGCTGGCGATGGGGGAGCCTCTCATTGAACTTCCCAAAGTTGGTCTGTCTTATGTCTCAGGTCTAGTTGCTCAAGGGGAAGCCAGCCCTAGTTCTTGAAATCATCAAATACCGTACAAAAAGAGAAGGCTGAGATGTTTCTTTTGGCGGGCCGTGATCTCGCACTATGCCCTGCAATATGACAAGGTGAAACCCAGCTTGCCAAGGCACTGGCGAAGTCAATTTTCACATCTACAACAAAACAAGGGACAAAATACCCTGCCGATCTGGAAGATGTTTCAAGATTTTTCAAGGCAAAATAAACTTTCCGGTTCCTGTGCAATCCTCTTTGGGAGATCCTGGTTTACGAGCCTTGTTCCTACGGATTCTCTCCAAACCCTGGGCAATCCCCAAACTCCAGCCTGGGTCAGGTTTGGAGAGCCCCAGCCCGAGCACCTGAGCAGGGAGGAACAGAAACCTACAGAAACCTGCTGTGTTTGGGACTGATGTTCATCAAATGGACGGATCCATACGGATCCAATCAGATTGCGTGATGCGGCCTAGTCCAAATATTCCAAATGTGTGAAACTACCATGGAATCAACTTGTTTGGTCCGGTCGTGCAATTGACTCCTCTTCTGCCATGCCCGAGAGCCTAGGTCACCAAGCGTGCTCCGTGGATCTCCCTGGCAAGGTTCCCTGGGGCAACTCAGAATTGCAAAGTACAGGGCTCGAACCACCACCTGTAGATGGTCTGTGAGGGAAAATCCTGCAGCGCAAAATTCATCAAAATTCTGTACAGTGACTTATACATCTTGTACAAGTCACACATTCTGCGGAAGTCCCTTGAAATCCTTCAACGCTTATTGAAGATCAACATGAAGATTGACATGAAGATCATTATGAAGATCAATATGAAGATCAACATAGATCAGGGATGATCAACGATGATCAGCAAGATCAGATCAAAGCCAAAATGCCTCACTTCTGTCAGACAGGAGTGAGCTGAACATTTCACTTTCTGATTCATCCACACGAGGACTGCTGGGAAATGACGTCGATGCCATGCTCCAGATTTCGCTATCCATGCATGCCAGGCTACCCGTGAAGCTACTCATGGGTAAATTCATTGCCTCCAAGCCAGGAGGTGGGCGTACTGCCAAACGCAGGCTCAAGGACTCCAGCTGGTTCATCTTCATCTGAAGCAAGTGCATCTTGGAGATTGCATCACACGCATCCCTGGGACCCTGGACGTTAACTGCCTTAACCTCCGCTGCTGCCTTAACTTTCATGGGATCCATGCCGCCCTTGCGCCCCACCGGACTTCTGGCTTCAACTGGCATTGACTGAAGCTCCTCCTTTCCGTGGGCAAAGTTGCAGGCTGCACCCTTGCTGCACTGACCCTTGGAACTGAATTGAAAGCACAATTTGGTGCCAACCAAACTTGGTGCCTTTCTCAGCTCTTCAGGTGAATGTGCAAAATTGGACCCGTTGCCCATGTGGCAACGGTTGGCACGAAAGTATCTGCACATCTGGGTGAACTTCAAGGTGTTTCGGGTCTCTTGGGTCGTCATCGTACCGCGGCCTCGATAGGATCACTGAGATCAGGGAGAAAGTTGGACAACTGGCGTGTCTTGAGCCAGTGTTGACAGTGCAGCGTTGCGGCTTCTGCGATGGAATGTGTCTGGTCAGTCAGTGATGATTCGTTGACATGGGCGCAATTCTGTCAGGAATGATTCCAAGGTATTCAAACGTAGTATATATTTCAATGTAAATGCTGATGCTAGCTGCCAATTGGGGAGCCTCTGTCTGAATATCCCGAAGCTAGTCGGTTTTACATTAGTCTACTTGGGATCTCTTGGGCACCCCTAATTCTTTACAGATACCCACGTATCATACTGAAGGAGAGCGTTGATGTCATTTTTTGCCGCTGATGATCTGGCAGTGTTCTATGCAAAGTTATATGTTTTAAGGCACCCCCTTCCCCCCCCCCACAAAGAATCTTCACAACCTTTAACAACAAATCAACGGACAAAGTACTCTGCGGATCTGGGAGATGTTTCAAAATGTTTCAAGGCAAAATAAATTTTCCGGTTTCTGTGCAGTCCTCTTTGGGAGGTCCTGGTTTACGAGCCTTGTTCGTACGGATTCTCTCCAAACCCTGGGCAATCCCCAAACTCCAGCCTGGGTCAGGTTTGGAGGGCTCCAGCCCGAGCACCTGAGCAGGGAGGAACAGAACCTACAGAAACCTGCTGTGTTTGGGACTGATGTTCATCAAATGCACGGATCCATACGGATCCAAGCTGCTTTGGCTCAGCCTTCAGATTGTGTGATGCGGCCTAGTCCAAATATTCCAAATGTGTGAAACTACCATGGAATCAACTTTTTTGGTCCGGTCGTGCAATTGACTCCTCTTCTGCTATGCCCGAGAGCCTAGGTCACCAAGCGTGCTCCCTGGATCTCCCTGGCAAGGTTCCCTGGGGCAACTCTGAATTGCAAAGTACAGGGCTCGAACCACCACCTGTAGATGGTCTGAGGGAAAATCCTGCAGCGCAAAATTCATCAAAATTCTGTACAGTGACTTATACATCTTGTACAAGTCACACATTCTGCGGAAGTCCCTTGAAATCCTTCAACGCTTATTGAAGATCAACATGAAGATTGACATGAAGATCATTATGAAGATCAATATGAAGATCAACATAGATCAGGGATGATCAACGATGATCAGCAAGATCAGATCAAAGCCAAAATGCCTCACTTCTGTCAGACAGGAGTGAGTTGAACATTTCACTTTCTGATTCATCCACACGAGGACTGCTGGGAAATGACGTCGATGCCATGCTCCAGATTTCGCTATCCATGCATGCCAGGCTACCCGTGAAGCTACTCATGGGTAAATTCATTGCCTCCAAGCCAGGAGGTGGGCGTACTGCCAAACGCATGCTCAAGGACTCCAGCTGGTTCATCTTCATCTGAAGCAAGTGCATCTTGGAGATTGCATCACACGCATCCCTGGGACCCTGGACGTTAACTGCCTTAACCTCCGCTGCTGCCTTAACTTTCATGGGATCCATGCCGCCCTTGCGCCCCACCGGACTTCTGGCTTCAACTGGCATTGACTGAAGCTCCTCCTTTCCGTGGGCAAAGTTGCAGGCTGCACCCTTGCTGCACTGACCCTTGGAACTGAATTGAAAACACAATTTGGTGCCAACCAAACTTGGTGCCTTTCTCAGCTCTTCAGGTGAGTGTGCAAAATTGCACTCGTTGCCCATGTGGCAACGGTTGGCACGAAAGTATCTGCACATCTGGGTGAACTTCAAGGTGTTTCGGGTCTCTTGGGTCGTCATCGTACCGCGGCCTCGATAGGATCACTGAGGTCAGGGAGAAAGTTGGACAACTGGCGTGTCTTGAGCCAGTGTTGACAGTGCAGCGTTGCGGCTTCTGCGATGGAATGTGTCTGGTCAGTCAGTGATGATTCGTTGACATGGGCGCAATTCTGTCAGGAATGATTCCAAGGTATTCAAACGTAGTATATTTCAATGTAAATGCTGATGCTAGCTGCCAATTGGGGAGCCTCTGTCTGAATATCCCGAAGCTAGTCGGTTTTACATTAGTCTACTTGGGATCTCTTGGGCACCCCTAATTCTTTAGATACCCACGCATCATACTGAAGGAGAGCGTTGATGTCATTTTTTGCCGCTGATGATCTGGCAGTGCTCTATGCAAAGTTATATGTTTTAAGGCACCCCCTTCCCCCCCACAAAAAAAAAAAACTTCACAACCTTTAACAACAAATCAACGGACAAAGTACCCTGCGGATCTGGGAGATGCTTCAAGATGTTTCAAGGCAAAATAAATTTTCCGGTTTCTGTGCAGTCCTCTTTGGGAGGTCCTGGTTTACGAGCCTTGTTCGTACGGATTCTCTCCAAACCCTGGGCAATCTCCAAAATGGGCAATCTCCAAACTCCAGCCTGGGTCAGGTTTGGACGGCTCCAGCCCGAGCACCTGAGCAGGGAGGAACAGAACCTACAGAAACCTGCTGTGTTTGGGACTGATGTTCGTCAAGTGCACGGATCCATACGGATCCAAGCTGCTTTGGCTCAGATTGTGTGATGCGGCCTAGTCCAAATATTCCAAATGTGTGAAACTACCATGGAATCAACTTTTTTGGTCCGGTCGTGCAATTGACTCCTCTTCTGCCATGCCCGAGAGAGGAAAAACCTAGGTCACCAAGCGTGCTCCCTGGCAAGGTTCCCTGGGGCAACTCTGAATTGCAAAGTGCAGGGCTCGAACCACCACCTGTAGATGGTCTGAGGAAAATCCTGCAGCGCAAAATTCATCAAAATTCTGTACAGTGACTTATACATCTTGTACAAATCACACATTCTGCGGATGTCCCTTGAAATCCTTCAACGCTTATTGAAGATCCACATGAAGATTGACATGAAGATCATTATGAAGATCAACATAGATCAGGGATGATCAACGATGATCAGCAAGATCAGATCAAAGCAAAAATGCCTCACTTCTGTCAGACAGGAGTGGGCTGAACACTTCACTTTCTGATTCATCCACGCGAGGACTGCTGGGAAATGACGTCGATGCCATGCTCCAGATTTCGCTATCCATGCATGCCAGGCTACCCGTGAAGCTACTCATGGGTAAATTCATTGCCTCCAAGCCAGGAGGTGGGCGTACTGCCAAACGCATGCTCAAGGACTCCAGCTGGTTCATCTTCATCTGAAGCAAGTGCATCTTGGAGATTGCATCACACGCATCCCTGGGACCCTGGACCTTAACTGCCTTAACCTCCGCTGCTGCCTTAACTTTCATGGGATCCATGCCGCCCTTGCGCCCCACCGGACTTCTGGCTTCAACTGGCATTGACTGAAGCTCCTCCTTTCCGTGGGCAAAGTTGCAGGCTGCACCCTTGCTGCACTGACCCTTGGAACTGAATTGAAAGCACAATTTGGTGCCAACCAAACTTGGTGCCTTTCTCAGCTCTTCAGGTGAGTGTGCAAAATTGCACTCGTTGCCCATGTGGCAACGGTTGGCACGAAAGTATCTGCACATCTGGGTGAACTTCAAGGTGTTTCGGGTCTCTTGGGTCGTCATCGTACCGCGGCCTCGATAGGATCACTGAGATCAGGGAGAAAGTTGGACAACTGGCGTGTCTTGAGCCAGTGTTGACAGTGCAGCGTTGCGGCTTCTGCGATGGAATGTGTCTGAGTCTGGTCAGTCAGTGATGATTCGTTGACTTGGGCGCAATTCTGTCATGAATGATTCCAAAGTAGTCAAACGTAGTCGAAGGAAGTTTAGAAGTCAAACTTCCGACAATATGGAGAGGTGAAAAAGCAGTCAGCAGGGAGAAGAGTCAGAAGAGAGAAGATCAGAAGAAAGAAGATGCAGGTGCGCGAAAAGGTAGGAAAGTCGCGAAACACTGTGTTTTTTCGTGGTTTTGTGGCTCCAGAGGGTTGAAAAGTAGGCTCGCTAAAGCGGCGGGTGCGGAGACATCTGGGGAGATGAGAGATGAAAAGTTGCACGCCGTTGTGGCGCGAAGGCGATTTCGAAGTGAAAAGGTCAAAACACCTCAGCGTCGGACCACTTTTGGAAGTTGAGATGTTGAACAAGTGCACGGCGTTGTGGCGCGAAGCGCATTTGGAAGTAAAATGTGTTAAAAACTGAGGGGTTCGGACGACTTTTGGAAGTTGAGATGTCGAAAAAGTGCACGCCGTTGTGGCGCGAAGCACATTTCGAAGTCGAAATGTGCAAAACACACCATGTTCGGACCACTTTTGGAAGTTGAGACGTCGAAAAAGTGCACGCCGTTGTGGCGCGAAGCACATTTCGAAGTCGAAATGTGCAAAGCACACCATGTTCGGACCACTTTTGGAAGTTGAGATGTCGAAAAAGTGCACGCCGTTGTGGCGCGAAGCACATTTCGAAGTCGAAATGTGCAAAACACACCATGTTCGGACATCTTGGTTCCTTTTCGGGGGGGGGGGGGTCTTGCAGGGGATTTTCTAGCAAGGAATTGGGGTCACTGAGGGGGTAGGTGGATAGGTTTTGAAAACTCATAGGAAAATTGTAACTGGCTATAAAATGACACGCCTCCACCAGTGGGCGGACCAGAAATGGGCAGCTGAAAGGCTGTAAACTATAAAATGCCTTGCCTTGACGCCCCCTTCCATATGACCAGAAAATATTTTTTTTGGGGCCAAGCCGCTTGAAAAAATGAATGCATAACATCTGTTGCATTGGATGCGCGTCATTTCCAAATTTGAAGAGATTTAACATATCTTTCTGCCATGCCCCACTGGTCTTTATGATGTGTTGAGACAAATAGTCTTTGGTGAGTTATCCGCTGAATGTTTTCAAAAAACAGAACACACTTATTAAAGTTATGATCGAAATGCACAGATCATCAAAACATATGGAGAGATAGGTGACCTGAACAAATGTGAGGCATGATTTGCAAAATCCGTGAGAACGAATGGATGGTTGATGGGAATGGATGGTTGATGGACCTAACTTCAAGCGACAAAATTAAAACTTTCGAACCCCAGTTTGTCAGTGAGGTCAAGAAAAGGGAGTGCTACCGAGATTCCAAGGAGCTACAG